TGCTCTGGAGATGAGATCACGTTCTTTACCCCCCTTCCAGTCCCATGCCATTCCATCATAGAAGTGAACATGGTGAACTCTGAAAATTTTCTCATCTTTCTGCTACTATATACAGTAAGACCTCAAGTTTTGTGCTGCTCCTCTATTAAAAAAATCCCACTGGATGCTGTGAGATTCATGGGAAGGTAAAAGCTAGTGTTGGCTTTGTCAAGCACCTGTCCATTTCTCTTCATTGAATTTTTCCCCCTCCAACTAAAGTTGGGGTAGGAATCCCAATTTCTTTTTTGGGAAGAGAAAGTATTTAGAAAATCAATGTTATCTGAGAGCCTATTCATTCTTTCTCTTTAACAACAAAAAAATGTTGCAACAGTATGACTGAATATCATACTCTGGAAATGGGCCATAAGATATATCTGAAAGACATAATGTGATGATAGTTCACTGTTCTCATAGTTTTGTTTTGGAAAAAGATGGCACTCAACCAGCTTTTTTTTTCAGGTAGAGCAAAGCAGAATAATGAAGATGTTAGATCTACCTTATGACCTAGTATGCTATTAAAGCTTCCCCTTAGACTGAGACATTTAAACCACATAGATGTCTCATTCTGCAAATGTCACATAATTTCCTTACAAGAGCAATTCAGCCTAGTCCCACTTTTCAATAAAAAATTTCAGTTACTGTTTTTAAATAACAGCAATAGAGGGAAAATACAGTTCTGTTTAGAAGTAATGAAAGATGTTCTGCTTGTACTTAATTTGATAAGAGTATAAGGCACTCCCAATTCATATTCAATAATAAAAGAGAATATTATAAAAATAGACAGTATTAATATTTGAACAAGAGCCAGTTTGGTGTAGTAGTTTAAGGTGTCAGGCTAGAAACTGGGAGGCTGTGAGTTCTAGTCCTGCCTTAGGCACAAAGCCAGTTGGGTGACTTTGGCCAGTCCCTCTCGCCCTGCGAGGAAGGCCAGGGCAAACCACTTCTGAAAATGTTGCCAAGAAAACTTCAGGGATTTGTCCAGGCAGTCACCAAGAGTCAATAATGACTCAAAGGCACAACCCCCTCCCCCTACCAAAAAACCCCAACCTTGAATACTTCTAATAAGGAAGATTATCCATATATTTAAAAAAGCAGCAAAGTAGACTATGAAGTTTTAAATGCCAGCTCATGAATGACTCTATTGTAAAGTAATTGTAGAATTCTCATCTCAGCTGCTATTAGATTAATGTCCATTGTGGCTAATAACAACACCCAATTATATTATGTGTATGGTTTTTTTTTTTAAGTTGTTAATCTGGTTCTTGAATAGATGCTTGGGGAAAGTAAGGGAGCAGTGTAATAAAAACATTCTAACTTTCTTATATTTACTAATAGAAATAGTAAATAATGTAACTGCTATGGAAAGACAACATTTATTCAAATTCTGGTATATATGGGTTGTCAGATTTCTTTTTTTTCTCCCATAGGGGAAGAGCTAACTAAAATAGAAGATGAAGATGAACAAGGCTGGTGCAAAGGTCGCCTGGACAATGGACAAGTTGGGCTGTATCCTGCAAATTATGTAGAACCAGTCCAGTGACAAATAATTCTGAATGTGGTATAATAATGGACAGTCAACATGATGCCTATAGAGGAACTGAAATATATCTGTTGATCTATCTATGTATCTATTAATGCAATTGAATGATGGATTGTTATGTTCCTTGGGCAATCACCAATGCTTCAGGCTGAAACTGGGAAAAGGTAGGCATCTTAAAGATAGAAAGTCAGCAAGAAAAATGACAGCATCCATTGCTTATTTACTATTTTATCATGACTTTTGTATTGTTCCAAAATTTGCTAAATCAGTGCCTCATTTCCAGTATTTTGGGGTTAGCTTATGTTCACTCTTGTTCAATCAGTTATTAATTGATCTTCATAATTTGAAATTTGATTTTTTTTAACTGCAATATTGCATTTGTTCTTAGCAATCTGTGAAAAATGTGTTTTTAAAATTTAAAGTTATGTACTCTGTCATTTTTCATGCATGGTCTACTTCATCACCTGTTACATGAATTATGACTCAGAAGTATTCTCTCAGTTCTGTACTCTTTAATTTTTTTCATGCTGTCAGCATGGCTTAATAGTATAAAATGCCATATATAGTGTCTATTACCAAGATTCCAATAGAATTATCTGCAAATATTAAGGATTAGTTTCTCTTGGTGAACGTTATTAATCCATTTTGATGCTTGAACTATCAGTTTCCTAAAGGATGACATCATGTGGATTTTAAACAATTTCCCACATTCCAAGATTGTCATGAAATTTACATTTTGCAAGTTAATGATTTTTTGTGATTTGGAAAGTTAAACATATATGAAGTTTATTTTTTCAAGCAAAAGAAACTAAAATGTACTGCCTTTTTACTGATATGCTCTTTAAGTTGTCTATATGTATATATATATAATTTGATATTAAAATTAAGGAGCATGTGTTAATTAGCAAGTCTATTGTATATGCATTAGATTTCAGATTGAATCTGACACCAGTAAATCAATGTGAGTTTTATTAACTTCAGTGGGAAGTTAATAGCAGCTTTTAAAGTAAGCAAAGCAACTTAAAATGCAAGCATATTTAAATTTGCTGTGTCAAGTATGTACATGTTTAGGTATAAGATACAAGACTTAGCTGTACCCCATCCAGCCCACTGTGGATGTAGCCTTCCTCTTAGGAGATAACAACTCTTCCCCTTCTACATAATATTATAGGCAATTGTAGTTATAATTCCATCTTTTCCCCCACCCCCACCCCGTAGGTGTCTCCATCAACTCTCTCACATCCAATTCTGCAGGTATGTGAGTTTGATCTGCCTTTGTTACAGCAGGATTCCTCTTCTTTGTAATTGGCACTGGAGGGATTAGATTTCACTGCATACCTCTGGCACCTTTTGACAGAAAATGCATCTAAAACACACTAAAGTAAAGCAAACGTATTCTGTAATCTAAGTCCTTAAATAATAATAATACTGTGGTTTTATTCTCAAGACCTATAATTATTAATTAAAATGTGATTCCAAACACAAAGTTAACATTAACCCAATGTGGATTATTGTAGCAAAACACTGTAAAATCTTGTTTGCATTTGCAGATCGGCTGTAGAAGTGTCAAACTCTATAGATTTGCAGGCAATTTAAATAGCAAAATTGTGAACATGTTTAAAATGTTGCTTTATAGAAAATCTAGAACTTATCAGGTAAGTAGAAATGATGTTTTAGGGAATCACACTGTAATTGAAATGACAGTTGAAACTGAAAATACTGTAAGTGCTTCCTGACTATTCCATTTGTCTGTGGAGATTCAAGTATTTATTACTATTGAAGATTAATTGTATTAGGTTGGGTATTGGATCTCTGTCATGATGGTATTTCAGCATAATTGTTCAGAAATGGAAATTTTGAATAAATGGTTAAGAATAAGTCTGGAATATTCTTGGATAGTACACTCTTTTAAAAATAAAATACTGAACAAAATGTTAGTGCCACAGAAAGTCTATATTTTTTAATTGTAAGCACTGTATTTGTATTTTCTCTTGATTATATACTGAGAGAAATTAAGCATTTTTTAGTAGATGCATAATAACTAGTCTCAGTAAAGCACCAAACACATGATAGCTAATGTGGGAAAAGAAAAGGTGCTTACACTTAAATAAAGAGTTCTCTTAAAATATATATGGGGTACTGTAAATATAACATGTTAAAATGTAAATATCTTGAGACAAGATACTTGTATTTTTATGCCAATTTACTGGTTTTTGTAAACAGCTAGTTACAATATAACCAGTAAAATAATAAACCAATGCAGCACATGAAATCCATTAACTATTTACTCTTCCCATTAATTGGAGGCAACTTTCCTGTTAAAATTGCAGGCTAAAAGCTTTGTGAAACAGCCCTATTTTTTCTACTTTTCCAAATGTCACCAAGAAGGACACCATTTGGCTCTCCAGTGGTGACGTAGTCCACACTCTAATGGATTGCCTTGTACTTCACCCAAAGCTCACATTATAGTGGCGGAAGGTGATCCTTAATATTTCCACTTGGGAAGAATAAACTAGATGGATCTGTTCTAAATGAACAAGATAGTCCTAGAGATACCTGGGCACTGAGCTATGAAAGGCTTAATAAGATAAAATCAGCACTTTAAATTAAACTTAGAAGGCTTTGGTAGCCAGTGCATCTCCTGCAAAATGCATAACAATTCTCATTGGTCAGTAAGAGTGTTGCTGCATTTTATACCAACTGTATGTTCGAGGTAATCTTTAAAGGCAATGCCCATGTAGAGTCCATTACAGTAGTAATAGTATTTTCTAGAAGTGACACAAGTGAGAGTTATAGTCTGCAGGATTTCCTGGTGCACCAACCAAAGATAGGTAATAGCTCTCCAACTACAGCTCCAGCTGATTCTCAAGCAGGAGCCATGAATAACTCCCAAGTCATGGTTCTGTTCCTTCAGGGGAGTGCTATTTCATCACAGCTGGAGATGGTAGAAAGTCAGATGGTTTCTGGAAAAACAGCACCTTCAGCATGCCAGGATTTAAAGTGGGCTTGTTACTTCCCATCCAGTTCCTCATAGCTTCCAGATACTAAGTCAAGATTTTCACAATGTCACTGAACTGGATCAGTATGGAGATGTAAATCTAGGTATTATTAGCATGCTGATGAATCCTTGCTCTATACCAGTAGATAAACTCTTCCAGTAGTTCTTGCGGATGTTAAAGAGCAGGGGAGAAATGAACCATAAAGTATTCTACATGCAAGCAACTCCTCCCTCATAATCACTGACTAGAACCGCCTACTCAGGAAGGAGTGGAACCACTATAAAGAGGTATCCCCAATTTCTAGTCCTCATGTGGGCCAAGAAGAACCCTATGATTGATGCTATCAAAAGCTGCTAGAGGTCTGAAAGGGCCAGGTTGTGGGGGGGGGGGTAGTTCATCCAGGTTGGAACAAAGGTCATGAGCCCAAATAAATAAATCCACTAGAGTAACTAATACAGTTGCTATACCATGTCTACCCTGAACCTTGATCAAACTTGACTAGATCTAGATAATTCACATCCTCTAGGTATTGCAGTTGCAGCCCCACAATTTTCTCAACAACTTTCCTTAAAAAAGGGAAGATTGGATTGGCCAATTGCCAAAATGGCCAGATCCAGGGAGGGCCTTTTAGGAGGTTGTGCATCACTGCCTCTTTCAAGGTGGCTAACACAACCCCATCTCCCAGCAAGGCATTGAGATCACTTCCTGGTCAAAAAAAAAAAAAAAAGCTGTTCATACCTCTGCTTGCTTCTCAAAGGAGCCCAGTGGAACATAGATCTAGGCAAGCAAAGTTCACTCTGCTCAACACCTATACACTTCAGAATTGTTCAGCCAAGATGATTCACAGGTAACTTTGCAGGATGCTACTTCTCAGATTCTGTCCTTGCAGACTCCAGAAAGAAAATATTCCAGACCAGAAGAAATATTAGCAATTTTATCAGTGAAATGTCTACAAATACCTCATAACAGCTTTCAGGGAGCACTTCTTGCTCATCTGTACTAAGAAAGGAACGGGTCACCTATGCAGGGTTACTGCAGCAATAAGGGCAGAAAAATATTGATGCCATCAAGGTACCCTAGAAGATTCAAGTCAGGGCTGGTGGAGGACCCAAAAGTTGTGAAGGCATTATGTCAGAAGGCAACATCACTGCCCTTGCCCAGTAATATATGTTACATCTGCTCATTTATTTAAATTTATTGGCCACCCAACTCCAGTGGACTCTGTATTTCTACATGAACAAGTCACCAACAATCAGACCTCCTAGACCCAGAATGAGGCAGATGTGCCAGAAGTGGGGACAGTAGCAAGGAACAAACTGAAGGTTCCTCCTTATCATATTTTCTGTTGTAACAAATCCACTCTCCCACCTCCTGCATATCAAGGCCCTAACATGTGCTACAAGCATCTGGCTGCAAACCACAAAACACCGGTAATCAACGGCTGGAGACATCAATCCTCACTCTGAACTGGTATAAACCATGGGGATAATTTTTTCCCAATCTCTGGCTTTAACCCAGAATATGAGTACTATCTTCTTCTCTACAATACATTGTTTTCCACTCCATATCTACATTGACACAATTCCAAAATGGCAGCAGAAAGGGCAGTGGTAAACCCAAGTGGCAGTGCTTTTTAACCAATGCTCACCTCCAATTTGGTGCAATGGAGCTACTTGCACTCTTCTTTCACTTCTCACTGTTCCATATCACTTCTTAAGGGCTTTTTCAAAGCTTTCTGGAGCCCTCTTCCTTCTTAGCCTCCAATTCAGCCCACAAGCCTCCATCTAGTAGCAGCCTGCCCTTCCATGATATTTTCCTGTCCATTTTTCCTTACACATTTCTTTCCTTCCTTTCCTCCTATGTTCACAGCATGAGTCATCCAGTTCCAGTCACCCCTTCTAATCATCTGTCTAAACCCCAAAATGCCTTATCCTCAGTCTTCAACTCAGCACAACCCCATTTTCATGATCTTACCAATTTTGATCTGGCTTAATTCCAAGAGAGGCTTGAATCTTATTGCTGCAGTTCAAGCTAAAGATTTTTTTAGCCTGCCTCAGATTCCACTTTGTCTTTAGATTTCCCTTTTTTCCCTTCCTCCCCATCTTTTCTTTTTTTTCCTTTCTTTGTTCGGTTCCTGTGTGCCTCATGGTTTGTTTCCTTTTACTGAGTTATTTCTTATTTCAACCATTTTTTCTTTCTATTATTTTTTATTTCAACACAAATAAGAGCAAGCCTTTTTGTACCAAATTTGACTGATAACTTTTTAAGTAAGTTATCTCAGAGATGAAATATTTACTATTATTATTTATCATTATTACAGCATTATTCTCTTGTGCAAGCATTCCTGAATTCCAATCAAACCACACTTCATACCCTAAGTTATAACAGAATCTCTTTAACATTCCCCTAGTAGGGAAGAATGACATCCATTTATTGTAGAAAACAATGTTAGTATAAATCTCTGTTTTCCTAGTTTATAATGTTGGATGGGAAACATTACTGTCTGGGATCATTCAAACAGTAACAACCCCGAAGTACTGTTCTGCCAAAGAAGCTTGTACATGTAGTCCTTGCTTAAGAACCACAATAGGGATTGGAAAATTGGTCATTAAGTAGGGTGGTCATTGAGTCACCACGTGACCAGACCCAACAGTCGTTAAGCAAATCACCGTGGTCGTTAAATTGAATCACATGGTTGTTAAATGGATCCAGCTTCCCAATAGACTCTTTGCCAGAATTCGCTTAACGACCATGTGATTCACTTAACAACCACAGTGATTTGCTTAATGACTGTCATAAGTATAAGTCATAAAGTACTTTTTCCAAGGCCATCGTAACTTCAAACCATTGTTAAATGAATGGTTGTTAAGCGAGGACTACCTGTATTCCATCTTAATATTGTATCTCACAGGGGATTCTGATTCTGTCTATCCTCCAGATGCTACCCAAAGGACATTTGAGGGAAGAATAATCAAGGTGCAAGTACTGTACAATAGATCACATCCCTAAGGAAATAGGCTCTCTGCACTGTTAGTTCAACTGCCTGTTTATTGGGCCCCAATTCCTCCTGGGTTGTTAAGGTGGCCAGGGAGGTGACCTGTAGTTGTGTCTATGCTGTGGTATCAGTTTCATTGAGAGGGGGTGGTGCCTTTGGCTTTGAAGGAGGCAGTGGTGTGTCCCATCCTTAAGAGGCTTGCCTTGGACTCCAAAATTTTACACAACTACCTTCCCCAACCTTTTTGGGGAAGGTTGCTAAGAAGGTAGTTAGCCTGAAGTTGCAGAGAACCCTGGAGGAAGCAGATTTTCTAGATCCATTTCAATAGGGTTTCAGGTTGGGATTCAGTACTGGAACAGTTTTTTCTGGTTTTATTGTTTATTAATTAGGTAAAAAAACCCAGCAAAATATTTTCACTTCAACATTTGTTCTAGTGTAGAGTTTATTTTATGTATGTGTATATACAGTATATATTCCTTGGTCGCACTTTTAATGACCTGTGGCAGAGCCAGGATGGAGGTAGTACATCCACCCTCGTGCTCCATGATCTCTCAGCAGCCTTTAATATTGTTAACAATGATATTCTTCTGGACTGGCTGAGGGAATTGGGAATTGGGGGCATATTTTTATGGTGGTTCTCTGTCTTCTTTCATAGCTGGTTCCAGTCAGTGTTGTTGGAGGGAGGGGAAGAGGTCATCACCTAGGCCCATCTTTTGTGGGGTGCCACAGGATTTGACACTCCCCTCCTGCTTAACATCTACATGAAGCTGCTGGGTGAGGTCATCTGCCAGTTTGGGGTTCAGTATCATCAACATGCTTACACCTTTCAACTCCAAGTTGGTCAAGTGAGGCTGTCGAGGTCCTGCCCCAATCCTACTAAGGCCAAGTGGCTGTGGATATTAGGGCCTCCTAGACCCAAGAATTTTTCATCTCTTAAATG